GGACACTCCCACATGACCAACCATGGTTTGAGTCCCGGGCCTGGTGGTTTCCTTTCTCACTTTCCCTTTCTCTCTCTGATTAAATTAAAATAAATGAATGAGTAAATAAAATTAAATAAATAATTTTTTTTAATTATTCATATCTTTTGATACAACAATTTCACTTCTAGGAAACAAACATTTAACAAAGATATTTCTTTCTTTTTTCTTTTTTAGAGAGGTTTTCGCTATAGGGTGCGTGCGCTCATCAGACAGACAGAGAGAGACAAAGAGAAGAAAGCGAGAAATCACCCCCCAAGGGATGGCCATGCCGCAATCTATCCTCCTCCATTGTGCTCTCGGGATCTTGGGTACGCATGCAGACGTGCCCGGCGTGAGTTTTAAGCCACTGGGTCCGGGATGCGAACCGTTGTCGACTACGTGGGAGTCCAGCGACATAGCCATTACGCTAACTGCTGGTCCCCGCATCTCCTTTCATTTTGACATTAATTCATGTACTATCTGGGGCAAGTTCCTACATAATTGTGACCTCCCAATTTTCTTGTTTTTAAGTGAATTTAAACAGCCATCTCAAAGAATTACTTATAGGGATAAATAAATGACGATAAACTTGTCATGTAATCACTTGGTAAATAGCTGCTATTGTTATGTATTTCTGTTACAGAGACTAAGCCTCAGTTTTGAGCATTAAGTCTTTAATAAAAAGACTGAGAACAAAAAAATTACTTTTTTAAAAATTATCAATAGGGGCAGGTCATATGCCCAAAGTTGCTGTATTCAAAATTTACAAGTGGGTGTAAATAATTATCCTCATCATCTTCAAAAGTACCAAATAACTCTACTTAAATATATATACCAAATAACAACACTACAGTTGTCTGAATTCATTAGAGACCACTTATTTCCTGAGTGTTGTCCACTAATGTCGCAGATCATACAAAAGGGAAGCCTAACAAGTAATTGCCTTAGTTTGTCCTCAAATATAACACAAGGCTTAGCTTATACAGTAAGTACCCGATTCTTGATTAGACAAACGTTGAAATCTTATCCTGGTATCTTGAGCCAAGGGATCTCTGCTGCAGCATTTTAAAGCTCCAGAGTCCATGTTAACACATATTTTTCTATAAAATAAACTTAGATGGCTAATATAGATATACTGCTAGAATTTGTTTCAGACTTCTGACTGCCTTCTAGTCCAAGATAATGTCACATACATTAATACTCTTGCTATTCAGGGTTTTGAGTATTAATGTCAAAGCAAAGTCATGTGGTGTTTTGTGGCGAGAAGTGACTAAGAGCATTACAAGCTCTGGTATCAGCCAGAACTTACATCCCAACTTTGGACAACTTGGGTAGCAATGTGGATCCTGGTGTCACATCTGTTTAATGGTGATCAGAATTCCATCTCATAAGGAACGTTGTGGGGATGATTTGATGTAGATATGTAAAGTATTGATCATAGTGCCTATCACATAATAAGTATTCAATACACTTTAATGGTTGAGAGAAAAAGCAAGCAGCCTGGACCAGGAGCTGGTCATTCATTCAAAGTGTGTCTTACGTATTATTCTATTAGCTATAAAGAGTATCACAGAATATCAGAAAAAAAACCTCTCAGTGATTGTGACGGGTCAAGACAAAATACAGTATGACTCAGACCACAAAAATCTGAAACAATCCCTTCTCCTGGCTAATATGAGTGACAGCTGTTTCTTCACCAAAGACCATGTGAGCTTCAGTCTAAACTTTCCTCCTCTTGGGGAACAGGCATTCAAATACCCAGCCATAAAATCTCTACTTCCTGCCAGAAACCAAAACAGAGTAAAACCCTGCCTTCTTCCAACGCTCTAACACAAGCTCAGATAGTCCCATAAGCCTTTCCTGTCCCTGTACTGTCATCCTAAGACATACGTAACTCCCATCATGTGCTGTCTCCGTGGCAGGAATGATCAATAAGCTCAATGTGTTCAACTCAGTTCAACAAATATGTTGCCGGTAATCACTGGCTGAAGAGAGTTGATGCTATTACTCTATAACCCTTGTCATAATGAAACCTCATGGACAGAGCCAGGTTGTACCCAACTACATCTTTTTTTCTTTTAGTGGCTTTTGCCTTAGGACGTAGGTCCTCCTCCGAGAGAGAGGAAGAGAGAGAGAGACAATGAGAGGGGAAGTGAGAAATAATCCTCCCGAAAGGGAAGGCCGCTACAATCCCTTTTCTTCCATTCTCCTTCTGGAATCTTGGATGTGCACTCACACACGACCAGCCTGATTATCAGGCTACCACCTGAGACGTTAAGCACAGCCACCATCTGAGACTCCAACCACAGCAGACCATGTGAGAATACAGCCATGTAACTGCTATACCACATGCTGGCTTTCAACTACTTCTTCATAGCACCTGTAGAATTAGGTGCCAGAGCCAAGAAGAAACGAAGGGCATCTCCACTTGAGAAGCGCTAGAGTAGAGGATTTTGCAGCACTGAAACGCTTGCAAAACGATCGGTACAACTTAATCAGAATATTCAATAACTGCAAAGTACTCTCTTGGAACGTAGGTCTGTATGTCACTGAAGATCACTCCCAGTAACAAAAGTAATTTTAATCTCCTCTCCTTTTAATTAGTAGGTTATTCGTTTTCTAATGTGTTCTTGCAGAAATTTACTTTGTCTCTAACATAAAATGGGCACTCCATTCACTAAATTGTAATGGTGAGTTTTAACCTTATTTGCCAAACCTATTTAATCCTGCATACGTGTAAAATTCATTGCAAATGCACCACTATGTGTACACATACACGAAAACATGCAGTCTTCACCATTATCCATTGAGCCAATGTAACCATACCTCAAGCTAAATGACCATAACTTAACTTCCCACAATTGCAGAAGCCATGTAGCTGGTAATTCTTCCGACGAATTACAACTACATGTTGCTACTGCCAGTACGGTCTTCTTGCGTGGCTACCTTCAACAGTGCCAAGGAGGCTGCTGGGACTAGGGGGCTCCTGTACCGACACCGTCCTATCGCCTGGCCACCTGGCTTGCCCCAACCCCAAGGGCCCTCTCTCTTCTTATGCGCCACCCCACACCCAGAACCAAAAATGCAAGTACAGAGCCTCAGCTGAAGGCAGACTGGAGGCCTCGGGATCCTTCACCCTCTGGGCCAGAAGGAACGTTCTGACAATTAACCTCAGTCAACGGCTGGGGCGTCAGCACCCCTACGGAAGCCGATGTGGTAACGAGCAAGCCCTGTACTCCTACTGGTGCTGGGTTTGGAGGCGGAGACAGGAGGAGGGCTCCAGAGCTGGCCACACCCCAACGCAGCAGGGGAGCTGGGGGCGGTTACCTTGTACCAGTTCTCTCCAGTCCTTTCCACTCTGCGCATGCCTGCTCTGCGCATACGGTCTCTGGGGCTTTTCGGTCGGTTATGATGAATAAATGAGCGTGAGGGGCGGCATGGAATTTAAATTTCACTCCGGAGAAAAAGTCCTGTGCTTCGAGCCTGACCCCTCCAAGGCCAGAATGCTGTATGAAGCCAAGGTAGAGACTCCGGGGCTCGACAGGGCAGGTGGTTGCGGCTCAGGCCTGAGGCTCGGTGACCCGGCAGTGCAGAGTTCCATATCGGTATAGCGGTGTGAGGCATCAGGCATTGCAAAGCTCCTTTGGCGCTTTGCGTTGGTCATGGTTGATAGTAGCATAGAGTCGGCGCTCGCTCAGGCGCTTCCCTTCCCTTTCTCCTACCGTGCCAGTCTGCGCACAATTTTCTGAGGTGTCTGGAGGCTTGAGCTGGGCCGGTCTGCCGAAGTGGGCTTTTCTCTGCCTTGTGGCAGTTCTCTCCTCGTGTGGTTTAGCACAACGTCGGCTCCCAGGGACTCCTGAGGGACGACATGGCCGACTGACCCAGGTCGTAATCAGACGCCCCACAGTGATGCCTCCCCATATACCGACCGTATCGCTGTCTTGAGGCCCTTGTCGAGTTTGGGTTCAATTTCATGAATAGGCCGTGACCTCCCCCTGCCGTCACCCAGAGGCTGAAATTTGCCCAGTTCCTTCATTCTTTAGATGGCTTGCAGCATTCACGATTTCCATTCCTGAAGGAGTTGGTAGATCTGCCAATGTTTGAACATAACGGACCCTGGGCCCATCTACTTAAGTCTCTTAGGACTGAAACACATCTGATAGCTCTTAAGGTCTCAGTGGCAAGTAGAAATGGGTACTGATAACCTCCCGAAGCCCTAAAGAAAGTTCATGCCATTGAACTTTCTAGACTAGTCCTCTTCTGTAGGGTTATCTGGACAAGGCATTGGTGACAGGGATGGGATGGTCCCAGATACGGTGGTGGGTACACACCGAGGTCTTTGGGCTGTTTTTGTGTGCCTCAGGGTTTCTCTCCTTCAATCTTGGTGGTGTTCTTTTGCCCGGTCTCTGAGCCTTCCCAAAGGGAACATACTCCAGACTTCCTCTCTGGGAACACAGCAGGGAGCAATACAGAGTCTCCTACCAGTCGTCCTAGCCCTGTACTCAGTGGCCCCGGTGAGACTACAACTGCCAGAGGTTTCAGGGCTGCATGTCTGGCCTGGACTTCAGTTAAACAAATGGGCTGGCCCATGGCTTCAGAAATCTAACCCTGTCTCAGAGGGATGTTTCTTGTTTGGAGGTATACCTTCAGGAAAAAGTGATACTGAAAAGAAAGAGCCTTACAGTCTAACTCCGTATTTTAAAAAAAGGAGGAGTATGCTCTCCTTTCCTTAAAAAAAAAAAAAAAAAAGGCATAGAGGGGCCAGCAGGTGGCTTGGTGGTTAAAATGCTGGACTTTAACATGACCAACTGTGGCAGGGTCCCAGACCTGTCAGGTTGCTTTCTCATTTTTTCTCTCTCTGTGTTTCTTTCTGGTCAAATTAAATAATAATAAATAATTCTTTTAAAAAGGCATCGACTGGTTTTAAATCTAATGTTCTTTATATATGGTCGCTCGTGGGCAATATTTCTTGGTTTCAGATTATCAATGTTATTGTTGGGAAAGATGAAGAAGGCAGAAAGATCCCAGAGTATCTGATCCATTTTAATGGTTGGAACAGAAGGTGAGTATACTTGTTAAATTGGACTGAAAACTGATAACCTTTACAGCACAAGAACATTGCAACTTTAAGTTTTAGAAATGCTTAAAGGGAAACTTTATTTCCTGTTTTTATTTTGCTTTTTCAAGTGTACTTACTGTGAGGAATGGTTGCTTTTATGTGGATCGTATTTGGAGTCTTTTGGGCAATTCTGGAAACCCATTATTAGCGTGTCTGAGTGACTTCTTTGTCGGTTCCTTTGTGTCCTCTTTTGATCTTTAGATATTTTAATTGTTCTCTAAAATATACTTCTGGAGTTTTGTTTCGTTAAGCGCAGGACCTGCAGTTGTCCTATTGGCTATGTCGCTGGACTCCCATGTAGTTGAGCACGGTTCAAGTCCCAGACCCGGTGGCTTAAACCCAAGCTGGGCGCGTGTCTGTGCATGCGTGCCCTACATCCAGTGAGTAGAATGGAAGAGAAAGGATTGTGCCATGGCCCTCCCCCCTGGGGGGTGATTTCTCGCTTTCTGTCTCTCTGGCTCTGCCTTTCTGGAGAACGCTCGCACCGTATAGCATAAATCTCCCCTCCCCCCCGCCCCACCAAAAAAGAAAGGTGGTTTTAGTATTATTTCATAGCACACTAAAATGTTGATTACAGTCTCTTATTTATTTATTTTTTATTTTTGCTGAATTAGCTGGGACAGATGGATGACTGAAGGTCATTTGCTTCATGATACTGATGAAAATCGTAGATTACAGCGTAAATTGGCAAGAAAAGCTCTGGCTCACCTGTAAGAATACAAAAAGATACTTTTCAATAAATCTTCTCATAGTGCTTTGAAGTTTTATGGTGTAAAAATATAATTACATCAATCCTGAGTAAAAAAAAAATCTACAGATTTTTCTTTGATATTTATTTTCCACTCACATTTTCTTCTTTCTTTTTTTTTATTACTTTCTGTTTAATCACATCATTAAATTATACATGGTTTTTCTCACCATGAATATGGTGCATATCTAAGTGTGTTAGGAAAGTATGTGGCTTTATAAATAAATGCAGTGTTTTTATATTCTGAAATTCAATTATTATGGGATGGACTATTTAAGAATGATTGTTTTTTATGTCTTCTCTGATCTCAGGACCCATGTCCAAGTTTGATTCAGTTGTGTTTACATTTTTCAGAAGAAGCACAGGAAAAAAGAAACACTACAGGTTGCCTGGTTTCAAGTCTGTCTTAAAAAACATCCCCGCTGAAGAAAACGATGAAAACTGTGAGTGCCTTCACTTCATTTTCTTTCATCTAATAACTTTGTGATATTTAAGTTCTTTCATGGACTGAGGGGAGTATTATTAAAATTTTAGACAGGAAAACATTTTAAGTCGTTGCTTATATTTGGTCCTTCTGTATTTCGTTTGTTTGTTTGTTTGGTTTTTACAAAGTAGCAGCCTAAATGATGAATTAGTAAGTTAATAGGATTTTATCAGATCCATGCTCCTCACCAGTGCCCTTTTGGATAGCATCTTTGCAAGATTCCCCTTCTCGTGGTCCATTCTCCTCTTGGCTCCTTCTCGGCCTTGGTTCCACTTCCAAATCCAACTTGGATCTGTAAGATCCTAGCTAACAAATCCCTTTAGACCATTAGCTTGTATGATTTTTGTCTCTCTTATAATTGGTGTTATATTTGTCAAAATAAATTTCTATTTGCACAGTTATGACATTGATGTTAGGCATTTAAATATATGCAGATTGAAGTTTATTATTCCACCATGGTCCATGCACTGCCTCAAGATTTGTGAAGATTTATAAATGTAAGGGTGGGTGAATTATATAATTTGGGATCTATTTGTTTGATCTAGTAGTAGATGGTTCCTCTGGTGCCAGTAGTGAAGAAAGAGATGAAAAACTAAGTGAAGAAAGTGATAATGAAGAAAAGACTGAAGTGGTATGAAGTTTTTATCATAAAAATCATATTTTTTTGTTGTATATTTTAATGGTAAAGTTCACCAGTCATAAACTATTTTCCAAAGATACATTTTGAAAGCTAAAAGTATGGGGTTTTTTTTCCCCCTTAGGCCATGTGTGCAGAGAAAGACAGAGATGAGAGGTCACCCCCTCACAGCTCCGGGGGGATGGACATGCTGAAATCCCTTCTTCATTCTCCTCTTGGAATTTTATATATATGTGCACATGCACCTGGCTGATTTCAAAAAGCTGGTTCCAGTATTACACTGACTTTGTAGATTAACTTGGGTAGGATTGACATTTTGACCATATTCTTCCAATCCAGGAAAATAGGATATTTTCCCACTTTTTTATATCCTTTTCAATTTTTTTCATAGTTTTCCTTGTAGGTGGCCATCTGGGAGTCCAGTACCTTAATCACCATGCCAGTTGCTGACCGCACAACATTACAGATTTTTCCTTGATAATTTATTTTCCACTCACATTTTCTTCTTTCTTTCTTTTGTTATTACTTTCTGTTTAATCCCATCATTAAACTGTTCTTGGTTTTTCTCACCGTGAATACAGTGCATACTGTTCAAGTCAAAGACATTACCGTATACATTCTCATCAGTCAATGATTTTTTTTTTAAATTTTTGTTTATTAAGTGTCTTGTTTGTTTGTTTTTCTTTTTTTTCCTGATTCTGTTTCCCTTAAATCCATCCACCATTACCCTTCTTCGAGCTATCTACAGTATCTATAGCTACTCTTCCAGCTATTATACTTACAATCTTTCAGTTTCTGCTATAGAACCCAGACATTCAGTATATATTGAGTGGGGACATACAATACTTGTTTTTCATGGTGTGACTTGCTTTGATTAGCATAAATCTTCCATATTTGTCCACTTTCTGTTAAATTCAGGTCTCATCGTTTTTTTATGGCTGAGTAATATTCCATACAGTACATGTCCTTTTTTTTTTCAATCTACTCGTGTGTTCTTGGGTATTGGAAATAATGCTGGACTAAACATGGAAATGCAGGGTTTATTTATTTATTTAATGAATGAGGATTTTACTGTCCTTTGAATAGATTCCTAGCGGGAATAACTGGGTTGTATGGCAGTTCTGTTTGTAGGTTTTTGAGGAACCTCTGTATTATTCCTCACAGTGGTGCACTAATCAGTGCATTTTCAAGACATCCTTAACTCTCATTCTTTATTTTTGAAATTTTAGCATTTCTAACCGAGGTGAAGTGGTATCTCATTGTAGTTTTGATTTATATATTCCTTATGAGAAGAAATGTTTATCATGTTTTCATATACTTACTGGCCATAAGCTGAGATTTTATTGTCACCATATTTGGTTTTAATTACAAAAGAATTAAGAGACAGAGTCTCACTGTCTTGTCCAGGTTGTGTTGAATTTATAATTATACTATCTTAGCCTCCAGAATAACTGGAACTACAGGTGCATGCTACAGTGCCTGACTTTTAAGTATAGGTGAAGAATGGAGTTCAGGTCTTCTGTGTACCCTCATTCTGCAGAGTAGCTACAGTATCAACTACCACATGCTACTACAGCTAGGCCTATGCTGTATTTTTAATTAGAACATGTGACAGGATATGCATATTGAGGATTAACTGGGTTTGTTTCATGGCGGGCTCTCATGTGTTAGACTTTTGGATAAAGAGTTTCCTACTAACTGAAATATTTAAAAATGGAATCATGATATCACAGAAAGAAGATCCATCTCTGCAAGCAAACATGGAATTGGAAGAAAGAAAAATAACTATAGAAATCCCTGAAGTTCTGAAGAAGCATCTTGAGAATGATCATTACTATATTAACAAGAGGAAACGGGTATACAGGGGAATATATAAAATATGGATATATTAGAGTGCTTTTCTGTTTTGTAATCAGAAACTCAAACACGCTAGAAGATTGCAGCAATAAGGATTGCATTTTCAGTTTCAGACTGAGTTAGGTTTTCCGGATCTCTGAAAGTATGTTGTACTGCTGATCAGGCTTTCCAGAGTCCTGCTGTTTGGATCTCACTAGAAAGGTTAATCTGTGGTTAATCTAGAGGTTGTTAGAACCACCTCTGAGGTTGTTCTAAGGGATTATTGAGGTCAGTGTTCACAGTCATACAGAAAAGTAATGTAATCAACATTGACATGTGATCAGTAGGAGGGAAGAGATAAAGAGTTTTCAAGTCAATTTATTTAATAAATTCTGTTTGGACAGAGTAGACTGTGCTTTGTTTTCGAGTTAGAACAGTGATCTCTACATGATTACTACCTTAGACTATGTGGTTTATTACAGTGAGAGGCACACATTAGGTATCTGTATTTCCATTAACAGTTAGTGAAGCTTCCATGCCAGACCAACATCATCGCTATTCTGGAATCCTATGTGAAATATTTTGCTATCAATGCAGGCTTTTCTGCTGAAAGGCCTCGTCATCATCACGCTGTGCAGCATGAGAACACAGAGATGCATTACACCCCAGTGGAAAAAAAGTGAGTACCAGTAGGTTGGGCATCTCATGCTTCTCTCATGTATTAGAGGAGTGGCTTCTATTTATTATAGAAGAGTCAACACTTCGTTCTATTTAGTTATTTCACGTACATTTAACATACTTTTTTTTAACAATTTACCAATACTGTAATGAATAATCAACCTAGTGTCAAAATATTGCCATTCTTAGGAAATCTTCAGTAATTGTTTACGTATCTGCGGTAGATGCATTGAGAGCACACTGCCTCAGCACTGAGACTAGTTTTTTCAGTGCTATTTTTTTAGAAAAAAAAGAGAGATAGGCATCTTCTAATGTATCCACACCACAATCCACCCATAGCCTCAGCCAGCTCAGATTATGTGCCTGAGTACCCACCTTGCAAAGGTAGGCCCAAGGATACAAACTGGGACCTTCCTTTGTGGCCCTTCACTGCAGATCATGGCATTATGCTGTGGTTTCATCTGGCCCTGTTTCTTCTTTATGTTTAAGTTTAAAAACTACTACAATATTTAAAACGTGCCATTTCATTTTGAAACTTTGCAATGTCCCTCCTTAGTACTTTATGGCGCCTCTTATCTCTTTGTTTGATTCCTCCCAGTGTCAACCTTTGCAAGGAGATGGTGGATGGATTAAGAATAACCTTTGATTACACACTCCCATTGCTTTTGCTCTATCCACATGAACGAGCTCAGTATAAAAATGTGAATTCGTCTGAGTTTTTTCTTCCAATGAAGGAAAGTGCAGCAAACACTAATTGGTAAGTTGGATAGTCTGTACTCTCACCCTTAGTTGTCAGCAATAAAATAATTAAGTATTATGTGAGGCATTCAGTCTGATGCTGTCCACCAATGTGGTTGGAGGAAGAAAAGATTGAAGAAAAGTGTCCACCCTGGTGGTTTTCTTTCTTTCTGTGAAAACTGGATCACCCCTCTCTTTCACATGGCTCTGAGATCCTTTACCAAATGAAGACTGCAGTGTACAGAGCTGAGGTGGAATTGAGAGGCACTCTCCTATCCTTTGGAATATAGCAGAACAGGGTTGAGAGAGCCTGGACAAGTGCTAGAGGGCGAGGTGAACTGAGGTCCCTGGCTAGACGATTGGCCACTTGTTGAGCTTCCTTTTGAGCCTCTCACTTCTCTGACAGTCCCTACATGCTACTAAACACTCTGCCATTCTGCTTCTCTTGAAAGGGTGGTCTGTTCTTGGGATTCCACTAATATCATCTGTCTTGTCCTTACTATTCACCTTAAACCTTAGGTGCAAATATCTCTACCAGATTTCTCCACCTACGGCTTCACTAATTTCTGACTTGCTCTCTACACTGGGCCTCTGATGGTCATCTTCCCAATCTTCCCCTTCTTGCTGCCTGCCAAGTTCCTGGCTGTCCTGGCTTTTCTGCCTTGCTACCAGCTCCTCTCAGCCCACCTATCTCCCTTCAGTGGGTTTGCCCCTCCCTTCCTTCCTCACATCACTTTTACCTCAGGTGAGAGGTCTGCCAGGCTCATTAGGGACCTGGGTCAATGTCCCAGGGCCTACCGAAATCTCTGAGATTTCCAGCATTGAGGAGTGGGGGAGCAGGGTAGCAGGGTATGTTCCCTCAAAGTTTCTTCAGTGTTTGTGGCTTTTGCTAGTCCCGCTAGAAATTTCCATTTAAATGAGAGCATGTGGTGGTCTTATTTTCTTGATCAGATCTCAGCCTTGGCCTTACTGCCATTTTGATCTGGATCATTCTTTGTGTCAGGCAGTCCTATGGGTGTCCTAGAGAATGTTTAGCAGCATCCCTAGCCTTTACCCACTAGAAGCCACTAGTACACCTTCCTTTGATTTTGAGGACCAAAAGCTATCGCACTTGAGATCCACTGCTCCGAGACAAACATAAAAGGGCCACTGTAATCTTTCTTTAATGCCAGCTTGCCTTGAGGGGTTATAGAAAATATTAAAATGACTTAATAAAGTCATTAAGGAAGTATGTGTGGGACCGGCAGATTGTGTAATGGTTACATCACTGGACTCCCATGAGGTCAGCTGCAGTTCAAATCCCAGACCTGGAGGCTTAAAATCCCACTGGGCACATGTGCATACATCCCCAAAATCTCAAAAGGAGAATGGAGAAGAAGAGATTGTGGTGTGGCCATCCTTTCCCAGGGGAGATGGTGGGGTGGAATTTCTTGTTCTTTTCTTTTTTTTTTTTTTTCCTCATCTCTTTGTCCCTCTGGCTAGCACACACACCATGTAGCAAAAAATCTCGCTTTAAAAAAAAAAGAGAGAGAGAGAGAGAAAGCACGTACTTTGTGGATTTAGGGAGCAGATTCACTGTCCTCTTTCTGCTCTGTCCTCACAAATGCCTTTGGAGAAGCCCTCCAGGTTCTGCGAGGGCTCTGCACGCTGGCTGCATGTGATGTTCTTCCTCTTCTCTAGGAGCCAAGAACTGTCTTCCAGTCTACCTCTGCTCAATCTGTCCACACTGCAGTCTGCAGAGAATCAGCCAACCCCGGGTGAGCCAGCTGCCTCCAAAAGATGCAGTGCTGAGCTAGAAGCACTACAGTCTCTGAGGCACTGCACACTCCACAGTGCCAACTGTGACAGGCTCTCTGAGAGCATCACATCGTCTCAGCCCAAGTGCCTGCAGCAGGACACATCCTCCAGCATGTCCCTGCACCTGGAAGAGAGTAGGTTCATTCCTGGCTGAATAAAAGAAACCCCAGCCCATTAGCAGTCTTCCCTGTTTTCCCTACTGCAAGCCTCTGGCAACCAAAACTCTGTTGGGTTGTTGGAAAAGTCATGAGGAATTTTTACATATAAAAACATGTCATTAACTTTCTTGATGGCCCAATGGTTCTGTTTACTGGAGATTTTATGTTAATGGATTGTATAGCTAGTCATCCTTTGTAATTGGTTTCTTTCACTTAGGATGATGTTTTTAAGGTTTGTCCACCTTGTAGCATGGATTAGTACGTCTTTTTTTTTTTTTTTTTTTTGCCCTGAACATGTTCATGCATATAGATATAACATGCTATAACAGGAAAGTCTTATTGTTAAAGATAAATCATTTCTGACAGCTGATTTTTTTGACAGCTGATTTTTGATTGATGCTCTTCTACTTATAATGGTTTTGATGACAGTCTTTAGTTGCTGTATAACTTACAGGAAGGTAATGGTATCTTTTTCTTTTGAAGAGACACCTATGCATAGCAGATCCTCTTTACCTGACCTTCTGACTCCTAGCAAGAAAGAGAGTACAGTGTTTCCTGGCTTTGAAGGGAAAAGAACAAAGGAAATAAACAAGGTAGAGTGTCTGATGTTCACCTCTAAATATTCCTTCACCAGTTGTGGTTGCTTATATTCTGTGGGAGAAAAATCAGGGTTTTTGAAGCATTGTGATGCTGTTCCTTTAAATGTTCACTGGCCTATTCGTAGAATTATGGTTCACATTGTTTTCTGTTGTTTTGATTTCTTCTTAAAATGACAAAAATCTTAGAATTCCAGGTCTACATTTAAAGTCATCTTTTATCTTAAATAATTTCAACCATTGACATAATAGTATGTTCATTTTGTGGAACTTTTTCTACAGAGAAGCAGGGAGTAAGCATTTAAGGTTTTGTGGACCATGCTGTGTCTGTTAAGAGTCTAAAAGTAACCACAATCTGTATGTAAATAAAGTGGGAGTGCTGTGTTCTAATAAGAGTATATGTATATACCGGCACTGAAATTTGAGAGCATATGTTTCTGTGGTTTATGAAATATTATGATTCATTTTTCAATCATTTAAAGAGACAAAGTACATTCTTAGCTCCCAGGCAATGTAGAAACAGGTGGTATTGGTCCAGGTGTGAACTACAGCTGTAGTTTGCTGAGCCTTGATGTAGACTGCTGATTCTCTTCCCTTAGTGACAGTGACACTGAGAGCCATCCCTTAGGGAAACATTGTGCCAAATATTTGAGCCATAACTCCTAAGACTAGCACTCCCTACCACTCTGAATCCTTAAGAAGGGTCTTGCCACTGGGTTTCACGTTTTCTGATGAGGAAATTTATTTTAATGTTATTTTTATTGTGACATTCTGTCAGTTTCCTCTAGAAGCTGGGGTTTCCTTGTTCCTTTAAGATAGGTAGGGTTGGGACCAGAGCAGCAGGTGTTGTAATGACTAGGTTTCTGGACTTCCAAGTAGTTAAGCACGGACTGAGTCCCAGACTCAGCAGCTTAAAACGCACACTGGGCGCTTGTGTGCGCATGACCATGATCCTGAGAGGAGAATGGAGGAGAAGGGATTGTGACATGGCCATCTGTCCCGGAGGTTGATTTTTTTTCATTTTCCATCTTTGAATCTCTCTGCCTCTCTGGTGAGTGCACATGCCGTATAGCAAAAACAAAAACAAACAAAAATAAAACAAAACAAAACACTCTCTAAAGAAAATAAAGGATGAATAGGGTTACGTAGGGGAAGATGTCTTTCTGAGGCAAGGAACACTTAATGATGGGAACGGGGTTGGTGGCAGACTTTTTATGTAATGAGTCAGATTGTAAGCCACTTTACTTTAGCGGTATGTTCCTGGAGGTCTCTGGAGAGCTCCTGGCTCCACTGTTGCAACATTGATGAATAGATATGCCCATCCGAGGTTCACTTACAGACATTGGGAATTGAATTTCATAGGATTCTCTCACATATCATGAAATAATACTCATTTGAATGATTTTCCTCAACCATGTCTCTCATATGAGCACTGGGCTATATTTGCCCTAGGTTATATAGTTGGCTAACCCCTCAGATGAAGCTAGGAAACACAATTTGTGTTATGATTGTTGAGTGTAGGTTAGGAAACTACTAGGAGTAGCAGTCCCTGCCACTCCCAGTTTTCAGACAAAAAAAACACTGCAGATTTTATTAAAGGACAACAGTGTTTCTTTAAAAAGGTTTCTGAATATTCAAAGGATGTTCCCATGCTGATCAGTGGTGTGAGCCCACTATTTAGTGGTCATGGAAATTGCTGCATGTTACTTTGTGACTCTTGGTCACCATTTGCAACTCTATCACCAGCTAGACACAAAATGAGGGAGAAGCCATCTGAGAAGTGACTCCCTGAGGTGAATTTTCCCCTCATGTTTATTTGCAGAGGGATAAAGGGACAAGCTTGTTCATTATTTTCGGAAGTTACAAAATAGTAAATATAATTGCATCAGCAAACTACGGTAAGATAGAGTGTAGGATGCAATGTCTTTTTTTGGAGAGATTTTTGCTCTTGGGGCCACATGCTCGCCAGAGACTCAGAAAGCAAAAAATCACCCTGCGGGGGGGCGGGGGGATAGTCACACCATGGTTCCCTTCCCTCAGGATTTTTGACACAGAAGCACATGCACCCAGCATGAGTTTTAAGCTACTATGTTCGAGACTCAAACTGCAGTCAACTACATGGGGGTCCAGCGACGTAGCTGCTATGCCATCTGCTGGTACCAGGATATCTTCTTGAGATTCTTTTCATGGAGGCTAGATCTGGAGATAGTGAGAAGATAGTCAAGGGCTATGAAGATAGTAACAAGCTATCGAGCTATCCTTTATGAGTTTGTGATAAGAGGTTGCATTACTCAAGAGGCCCTTCCTTTGCAAGCAGCAAGCAAAAGTAACATTCATCCACCAGTGTTTGCACTGGTTTTTTTATATCACATAGGTCCTGGACATTTCCTTCCTCACAAAACCAGAGTTCTTAAAGGCATATACCAAAAATTGTTTTTCTATGTAAGTTTAAAAGTGATAGATTTTCATTAGCCGTGGACATATTCCTTCTCAATAAGCTGGAGCTACCAAAGGGACACATCAAAAATTACTTGTCTATGTGATTTTATAAGTGATAGATTTTTGTTGTCTCATACTTCCTGATAAATGATTGGAATTCAGGTAGCACTCTGAGAGTTTAGAAAAATTTCTATCTTCTTACGTGTGGCGCTCACAGTGTTCTCCCTGTGAATCAGAGTTCTTTCTCTAATACGCCTTGTGGTTCTTTCATCCAATACTAGTTGCTCCACTGCATCAAAGGGGGGAGAGTGTGCTATGCACATGAATATACAGATCACAGGTAGTTCCCATACCACACCCCACTGAGAGAATCCCACAACTGGAAATCTGCTGTTTTCTCCTATAAATGTGTCTTTGATAAGTAGGAGATGACATACTCTGCAACAAAATTAAGAATGGAGTGAGATAGATCTACCTACCGACTGGGTAGATCTATCAAAATACAGAAGACATCTTTGAGTTACTTTTTAAAGAAGGTTTTGGCTTAGGAGTGTACTTGTGTGTGTTGGTGAGAGAGAAATAGATACAATGAAAGGGAAAGGGAGAAATCACCCACTAGAGTAGATAGCCATACCACAATTCAACTCTTCTATTCTTCTCTTGGGATCTGGGGCACACACACACACACAGACACACACACACATGCACACAGGACCGTGCATGCACAAACATGCACACACACACACATGGCATCATGTAAAAGCCACAGGGTCGGGCATTGAACCACGGTCTGTCATATGGAAGTACAGCAATGCAAGCATTAACATGATCTGCTGGTCGTTTTGGGTTACTTTCTAATGCTTAGTCCTCTGTCTGACACAGCAGGATTTCTAGTAAAATTAGGGTCTCAAATCCCTGGGACGTGGGCCATTACCAGTACATGGCCTGTTAGGACTGAGGCAATCCCACTTGTCTATTTTGGGGATTATTGCCTATTCTTTGAGGGTCTTATTTTAAAAGTCTTTGCCTACTCTGGTGTCTCCTAGAGTTTCTTCTGTGTTTTCCACCAGTATTTTATAGTTTGAGGTCTTAGGTTTAGCTCTTTGATCCATTTTGAGTTGATTTTTGTTAATGGTGAGAGGTAGGGGTCCAGTTTTAATCTTTCTACAGGTGAATACCTAGTTATTCCAGCACCGTAAGCTAAATAAGTTTGATGTTTTTCCCCCACTGGATTGGCCACATATTTTGGAGTTTATTTCTCAGGTCTCTATTTTGTTCCAGTGGTCCACATGGCTGTTTTGGGGCCAATTCCATGATGTTTTGAGTATCATAGCTTTGTAATATATTTTGGGGTTAGGGGTAAGATGGCTTCTGCTCCATTCTTCTTGCACAGAATTGCTTTGGCAATATAGGGTATTTTGTGATTCCAGACAAATTTTATGATTTTTTTGTTTGTTTGTTTGCCGAATCTGTGAAAAATGTCTCTGGAAATTTGATTAGGATTGCATAAAATACATAGATCAATTTGGTAGAATTGACCTTTTGAATATATTGATTGCTTTATCCCAGAAACATTGAATGTCCTTACATGTTTTTGTGTCTTTATTTTTTAGCTTTTCACAGTTTTCCTTGTAGAGCTCTTTGAATTCTTCAGTTAAATTTATTCCTAGGTATGTTTTACTTTTTCTGATGATTGTAAATGGGATTGCTTTCTTCAGCTCTTCCTCAGTCTACTCATTGTTGGTATATAGAAATGCTGTATGTTTTATATGTTGATTTTGTATCACACTATTTTAATGTGTTCATTTATCACTTTCAGGAATTTTTTAGTGAGTTCTTTTGTATTTTCTATGTATATAATCGTATCACCAGCAAATAGAGATAATTTTACTTTCTTTATGTGAATGCTTTTTATTTTCCTTTATTTTCTGAAAAGAAAAGTCCATTTCTAGGACTTTCACTAGTATATTGAAAAGGAATGGAGAAAGTAGGCAATCTTGACTTGTTCCAGTTTTTAGTGGAAAAGCTTTTAGCTTTTCCTTGTTAAGTATGATGTTCACTATGGTTTTCATATATGGCTTTAATTGTATTGAGAAATGCCCCTCCTATGCCTATTTTGTTGAAAGTCTTAATCACAGAGGATGTTGTATTTGATCAAATGCTTCTCTGCATCGATTGATAGGATCATACGGTTTTTATCTTTCTGTTAATATGATAGGTTATATTTATGTTTTTTGCATATGTTGAACCACATTTGCATCCCTGGAATAAAGCTTACCTGGTCATGGCGTGTAATCATTTTTATGTGTTGTTGGATAGTATCTTGTTGAGAAATTTGGCATCTATATTTATCATGTACGTTGGCCTTCAGTTTTTCTTTTTTGCTCTTTCCTTGTCTCTTTTAATATGAGTGAGGGAAGCTTTATGAAATATAATTCAGAGGGTTTTTGTTTTGTTTTGTTTTGTTTTGTTTTCTTTTTTTTTTTTAGCTTTAGAAGTAGTTTGAGTAGCATGGGAGTTAGTTTTTTTTAAGGTTTTATGGAATTCAGAAGTGAAGCTATTTGTAGCTGTACTTTTCTTTGTCAGGATGTTATTTTTGCTGATTAATCTTATTGCTTGTTAAAAGTTTGATTAAGGCTTTCTGTCTTTGTGATTCAATCTTGATGGATGATATGTTCCCAGAAATTTGTCCATCTCATCCAAGTTTTCCTATTTGTTGGCGTATAGTCACTCCTAATATTCACTAATGATCTTTTATATTACTATGATGTCTGTTGTAATATTGTCTTTTTTAAATTGAGGATTTCATTGATCTTATTCCTTTCTCTTCTTTTTTAGTCCAGCTATTGGTGTGTCAGTGTTGTATATCTTCTCAAAAACCAGCTTTTGGTTACATTTACTTTCTGTATATTTAATTTATTTCTGCTTGAATCTTTATTATTTCTTTTCCTTCTAGACATTTTGGGGGTTTTGTTGTTGTTTTTTCAAGTTCCCTGAGGTTCGATTTTAACTTACCTATTTACCACCTTTCCATCTTTTGTTTTTTTCTTTTACTTTCACTAATTGCAATGAACCTTCCCTCTTATTACTGCTCTTGCTGTGTCCCATAAGTTATGCAGACTTTTGTGTGCTCATTGCCACTGAGTTCAATGAATCTTTTGATCTGAATTTTAATTTCTTCGGTGGACATGAAGTCATTCAGAAATAGGTTCTTTAGTTTCCCTATGTTTATATGTTTTTTGGGGGGGTTCTTCCTGAAATTAATATCGAGTTAAATCACTCATGGTCAAAGACGATACTGAATATAGTTTCTGTTCCTTTGAATCTGTAAAGGCGGCTTATTTTTTTTCACTATCACGTGGTCAGTCTTAAACATCATTTTATGTAAAGAAACTAAAACATATGTTTTATTGCTGGGTATTTTTGTTCGGGTTGTTAGATGGAGGGTTCTATAGATATCTTTCAAGTCCATTAGATTTATAGTTTAGAGCACATTGTTTTGAGCCTGTATCTCTGCTTATTTTTTGTTTCAATGGTATGTCATATGTCCATAGGAGATAGTGCAGTATTGAGATCCCTAATGACTAATGGTTTGCAGTGGGTCTCTCTTTAGATCAGGCAGCTTTTTCTTCACATATTTTGGTGCTCCTTAGTTGAAGGAATCAATGTTTATAAAGCATTATAGTTTCTTGGTTAATTAGCTCTTTTAGTAATATGTAATGTCCTTCTTTGTCTCTCCTTACAGTTTTTGTCTTAAAGCGTATTTTGTCTGAACTCAGTATCGCAACTCTAACCTTTCTTGGTTTCAGTTTGGATGGAATACCTTTCTCTAGCCTTCACTCTTAGTCAATGTATGCCTTTTCCCACGAGATGTATTTCTCGTAGGCAGAACATAGAGGGTTTCTGTTTGTTGTTGTTTATCCAGTCAGTAGTGTCTCACGATTAGAGAATTTAATCCATGAACATTCAACATTATAATCGATATTGCATACTTGTTCCTACCATTTTCTTGGCAATTCTTGGTTGTTCTTTGTTCTCTTATTTCTGTTTCACCTTAGTTTTTCTGAGGTAGCACTCTCTTCAGTACCTTTTAGAGCTGATCTATTGTAAATTATTTCAGGTTTTGTTTATATAAGAATGCTTTTATCTTTTTTCTCATTTGATTAATAATCTTGTTGGTTATACTCTTGTTGGATGAAATTGTTTTTCTTTTACCCCTTGAATATATCTTCCCATTCTTTCCTTGCTTGCTTTATTTCCATTGAGAGGGCTGACATTAGTCTAAAGGGATAACATTTGTAAGCGTCTTGACATTTCCCTCTTGCCATTTTTAAACTCTTATCTTGATCTGTGATTTTGACCACTGACTATAATATGCCATCAAGAGGATCTTCTTAGGTTACTTTGTTTTGTGTTCTATTGTAGTTCTTGGAATTGACTGTTTGAATATTTCTTTAGGTTTGGCAAATTTCCTTCAATATTTCATGCAATAGATTATCAATGTCCTTATTTGATTCTTCACCTTCAGGGGTACCAATTACTTAGATATTTGGGCATTTAATAGTATATAGTATTTCTAGTACGTAATTCTCATTTTTGTTTTGCATTGTTTTTTCATTCTTTTTGGTGATTTTTGACTATGGAAGAGGTTTTATTGTCAAGATCCTAGATTAACACTTATGAATGATCTAATCTGCTATTAATACTTTTGAGAGAGCTTTTGATTTTCTGTATTTTAGCCTTCATCTCTAACACTTTTGTTTGATTTTCTTTTTATGGTGTCCTTTTCTTCTTTCAATTCTTTGAAGGACTCCCTCATCATCTGGAGTTTGTTGTCTTTTCTCTTGCACCTCATTTAGTTTTGTCACTGTGAATATACTAAATGGTTCATCTGACATTTTCATGAGTCTTGCTGCGCTGTCTTTGGATGATGTAGAACTGTCGTTTTCTCCTGGGTGAGAGATATTTCCTTGGTTCCTCATATTTCTCTGGCCTTGCAGATTTCTGATCACCTGATGGATTATACGGTACTTCCTAAATTCTTGGAGTTGATGCTATAGTGTCATGAGGGAAGAAGTACTGTAGTCCTTTAGTATGTCTTCAGAGATGGTTTTGTCTCTCAGTTGGGGGAATGGTGTATGCAGCCAGTTTGAGGTGTTTGGTTTCTTCTCAAAGTCTCTGTACAAGGTGTACCTGGGCTTAGCTAGAGAATGTAACTAAAGAAGTATCATTTAGCAGATTGTGCAGATCAGAAAAATACCAAATCTCAAAGGATTACAAAAGTCCCTTGTGGATGGAGGAGAGAAAGACTGTGGACTTCCTGTCACTTCATTGTACCGAATCCTGCTCAGTACCATTGCTGGAACCCTGAGAAATTCAGTGGCACAGGGCATAGGGGAGAATGGGATCCTTAAAAACATAATATACACTTGGGACCAGTAGTTGGCTTATAGCTATGTCGCTGGAGTGGTTCAAGTCCTGGACCCAGTGGCTTAAACTCATGATGGGTGCGTGTACGTGCATGCTCCAGATCTTGAGAGGAGAATGGAGGAGAAGGGATTGTGGCATGACCATCCCCCTGTGGGATGATTTCTTGCTTTCTGTCTCTCTCTCTCTCTGTGTCTGTCTTTCTGCTTTCTGGTAAGCATATATCCCATAGAGAAAAAACTTCTCACAAAGAAAGAAAATCAATATATACCTAGTTTGCGTGTGTGTGTGTGTGTGTGTGTGTGTGTGTGTGTGTGTTTTAAAGATATTTTTGCTATAAGGTGCATGCACGCACCAGAAAAACAGACATAAAGTGAGAAATCACCCCTTAAGGTGGATGGCCATGCTGCAGTCTCTTCCCCACCATTCCCCTTCAGAATCTTGAGCATGCACATACGTGCTCCCCGTGTGAGTTTTATACTGCTAGTTACAGAATTGACCTATGGTCTACTACATGGAAGTCCAGCCATGTAACCATTTTGCCATTTGCTGATCCCCACACCTAGGAACTTAAAGGTGAGTGGGGAGAGGTGAGTCACACTCTCTCAGCTGCTCTATCACTTTGTTTCACTGATGCTATCTCTGCACTGTAACTGGGACCCATAGAAATCCAATGGTGCCGAGCATAGGGAAGATTGGGATTCTTGAAACCAAAGCACACATCTGGAAGTTTACAGGTGTGTGGGGGGAGGTAAGCCACACTCTCAGCAGCTCCGCAACTCCATCCTACTGAGGCTGACTGAGCACCATACTGGAACCCAGAACCTGCCCATCAGTTTTATTTTTTGTTTCTTTATTTTAGTTTATACTATAAGGTATGTGTGCATGCCAGAGAGAGAGAGAGAGAGAGAGAGAGAAAGAGAGAGAGAGGAAAAGTGAGAAATCATTTCCAATGAAGAATGGACATCCTGTAATCCCTTCTCCTGCAGTGCTCTCTCAGGATTATGGGCATATAGCACATATGCTTGACATGTTTTTCAACCTGACTGCTCTGACAGCCACCCATATGGTATCTAGTGTGCCTTAACCTCTATGCCACCTGCTGGCCCACTTTTTTTTTTTTAATTGCTCATGTTTTTCATTCTCCTCTTGGGATCTTGGGCACACACGCACACATGCCGGTGTGAGTTTAAGCCACAGGGTCTGGGACTCAAACCACAGTCTACTACAAGGGAGATGAGCAACGTAGCCATATGCCCACTGCTGGTCCCATCTTGTGTTATTTTTATATATACTGGCATATTTTTTCTCTACATACTGTCATGAGATAGAATTACAGCACTTTAGAAATTTTAATTGGTTTTATCAGCCATTATAGAATGGGCCTAACTTCATTATATGAAATGGACGAGTGCCAATGAGTTGAGCAAGAAAGATTTCTTATAGACAAAGGACTTGTAGAAAGCAAAAGCAAAGATTTTCCTTATAGGGTGGGGACAGAGGAAGAGCGAACAACCGATAAACAACTGGACCAACAGTTGGCGTAATGGCTGTGTTGCTGGACTCCCACGTAGTCGACCGTGGTTTGAGTCTCGGACCTGGTGGCTTAAACTCACGCCGGGTGCTTTGCGTGTGTGCACAGGATCCTGAGAAGAGAATGGAGGAGAAGGGATTGCAGCATGGCCATGCCCCCGGGGAGTGATTTCTCACTTTCTGTCCCTCTGTCTCTGTCTTTCTGGTGAGCGCACACACCCTATAGCAAAAACCTCTCAAAAAAAAAAAAAAGAAAGAAAGAAAACTGAAGGGTTATTTCATGGTGCTTTTGTGTAACTATTTATATCATTAGAATAGCCTCTTTTAAGAACTTTGGCAGTATCTCCCATTCTCTTAAGAGCAGAGAAATAGCTTAGTTTGTTGAATGGTAATATGGAACTTTAGTATAGTTGACTTCATTTTGAGTTTCTAGTCTCATCTGAAGTGGCCTAGTATAGAACTTTAGTCTAAAGCAACTACATTTTGTAATTTTTACCCAACATACAGTGTACTGTCATAATTTTTAGGTGGTTAAAAAGACATCTGTTATAATCATGAAAGTCCTCAATTTCTGCTTTTTCCAGGTTCTGTCTTGGAAGCTCGTGCCTAGCAATTACCCTCCAGGAGACCAGTTGCCTCCACCATCTTACATATATGGGGCACAGCATTTGCTACGATTGTTTGGTAAGAATCCTTATTCTTGCTCTGTTCTTTACATTTTCTATTTTGCCTTGTTCTTGTCCTAACCCCCATATTCATTATAAGAGTGTCCACATATTTGTAAGTGAGAGAGGAAGAGAAGAAAGAGGTAACATCCCTCCTGCAGTCTTCCAGCTCATCTGATAATGGACACTCATGCATGTGCCAAATGTGTGTCTGGCTGTGTGGGATCTGGCCTCTACTCAGCAGTGTATGAAACCGGTCACATATATGTATATGTCTGTGTGTGTGTGTGTGTGTGTGTGTGTCTGCGTACTTACATATATTTATATGTGTGTGTCTGTGTATATATATATATACACTTACATATATTTTACATTCTGTTGTTGTGTATTACCACACAATACCAAATCAATTTTTCTATCACAAAGACACTGTATATTTGTTCAGTCAGAAATATGACCATACACACCAACATCACCATACAACCATCTTTGTGTGTCCCTTAAATACTTTGTTGTTGTTTTTTATTAAGAGATTTTTTTTGGGGGGAGAGGTTTTTGCTATAGGGTGCATGCGCTCGCCAGAAAGACAGAGAGAGAGACAGACAGAAAGCGAGAAATCACCCCCCCGCCCCCCCACCAAGCGGGGATGGCCACACCGCAATCCCTTCTCCTTCATTCTCCTCTTGGGACCTTGGGCAGTTATGCACACATGCCTGGCATGAATTTAAGCCACCGGGTCCGGGACTTTTCAAACCATGGTCGACTACATGGGAGTCCAGTGACATAGCCATTACGCTAAGTGCTGGTCCCATTAAATGCTTTGTTTGTAATGCACTTCTCAGTTTATGTACACCTTGTGGTTTGGGCTCTAAATATTTAAGTAATATGGAAATCTGAGGAACTAAAAAAAATCATCCAAAACTGACCTTTGAGCTACTCTACATTTTTTTCCCTCAAAATTTAAATTATTTTATATTACATTTAATCACATATCGCTTCACAGTGTACAATATTTCTTTTACCAGCATGATTACCATGCATATCACTCAAGACAAAGACATTACTATACATATTGTCAGCAGCAAATAGGTTTTTATTTTTCTGTTTACTGAAACTACTTTTTATTCCTTTTTCTTCCCCTGTTCCCCTCTATCTTTCCATTACACTCCCCTGTATTATTCCTGTTTTCCCTGTCTCTAGTATCTATCATTGCCCTCCCTGCTACTACACCTTTCAGATGTTCAATTTTCTGGCATAGCGTGCACATTATTGGTATCTATTGAGTGGGGTCATAGAAAGTCTGTCTTTCTTAGACTGACTTGCTTCGCTTAGCATCAAGTCTTCCATATTTATCTACTTTGCATCAAATATCAGGATTTAATTTTTTTCATGGCTGAGTATTATACCAGAGAGGACATATGCCATATATTTAATCTACTTTTGGGCGTTTGAGTTCCTTTTATGTCCTAGAGATGGTAAATAATGCTGCAATAAGCATGGATGTGTAAGTTGTTTTTCTAAAAGAGGTTTTTTTACCCTTTGAGTAAATACCTAAAAGTAGATTTACTGAGTTGTATGGTAGTTCTACTTGAGGGTTTCCAAAGAACATCTATATTACTCTTCAAAGTAACTGTGCTAACTTACATTTCCACCGACGGTGAAGGAAAGTTCCCTTCTCACCACAGCCTCACCAGTACTTATTACTTATTTATTTTAATTTTTAAATTTTAGCCCTTCTGACTAGGGTTAAGTGGTATCTCATTGTGGTATTAATTTGCATTTCCCTATGATAAGAGAGGTTAGGCATGTTTTGATAGGCTTTTGGGCCATTTTTATGTCTTCTTCAGATAATTGTTCATCGGTTCTCCCGTTTTATAATTGGATTTTTCTTTTGTGGTTAAGCTGCTTAAGTTCTCTATATATTCCAGTTATCAGTCCCTTATCTGAGGTATAATTTGGAAATATAGTCTTCCACTCTGAGGGTTGTCTTCTCACTACTTATTGTTTCTTTTACAGTGCAGAAGCTTTCCAGCTAATAATCCCATTTGTCTATTTTTGGAACTATTGCCTATGCTTTAAAGGTCCTCTTTAACAAGTTTGTGCTTACTCCAGAGCTTCTAAGAGTTTTTCCTGTGTTTTTCACCAGTATTTTTATAGTGTGAAGTTTTATGTTTAGATTCTCAATCCATTTTGAGCTAATTTTTGTTAGTGATGAGAGATAAGGATATAGTTTCATTCTTCTGCTGGTGGATATCCTATTCTACCAACACTATCAGCTGAAGAGATTGTCTTTTTCTCAGTGGATTGTCTTTTGCCTTTTGTCAAGTATCAGTTGGCTGTATGTTTTTGAGTTTGTTTGGAATCATTCTGTTTCAGTGTTCTACTTGTCTTTCTTTGTGTCATTTCTATGCTCCTTTAATTATTATGACTTGCAGTGTGTTTTCAGGTTAGGAAGTGAGATGTCTCCTACTATA